CTCTCACTCCCCCCTCTCTTTCTCCCCCATAAACAAAAAAAAAAAGAAAAAAAAATTAATAAAAAATATATTTAGAAAACGTTTACTCAAGTTGTAGTAATACCGTTCTTGACGCACTGTGTTTGTTCTGGACCTACACACTATCAGCAAGCGACAGGAACACCACCACCTGTTCACACAGACAACCAAAACAAAGATTAGTTCTACATATTCATACTTTAACAAGAGAAAGTTCGAATCATTAATAATAATACTCTAATAACTGAGTTAAAACGAGAAACACTGATGAAAGCGAATTAATCAAAACCAAAACCCAGATTTTACAAAATAAAAATAGATTCCATAGCTAGAATTCATAAATAGAGAGGAGTAATAATCAGATTTATTAAATATAATTCTGAAAGGGGAGGGGATATATTAAAAAAGCAAAGAAAATACATATCTCTGTTAGTTCCTCTCTGTCGCCATAATCTCTAGCTCTCTAACTACATATTTCTTAAACACTTTTTCTTTGGTTTTGTCTTTGGTAATAAAGATTCTCTGTCTGAGAAAAATTTAATTGTAATAAAAAAAGGAAAGGCAAGTGAGAGTGATTGTCTTTTTATAAAGAAGAGGAGGAGGAAACAACAACGGCTCTATAACAACGGACATATATTTGTAGCCGTTGGATTATACGGTTTGAAATTTAACGGCAGAGGGAGGATATTACGACTCTGAAAACCCATGTTTGACGAGACCGGGCCCGGCTCATTACATTTATGGGCCTTGTGCAGAAATTTTGGTTTCACCTAAATTGTAGTTGTGTTATTATTTACTTAAAAATGTTAAAAAAAAGGTCAGCTATAACGATTTTATTTCTTAAAAAAAATATGAATAAACTTTACATTTATGAAAAAAAAAACTTCCTAAACTACATTGCAACATTCCAAATTAATAATCAAATAAACAAGTTCGAGCCATCGACTAGATGGTCAAGACTCATTACAAGACCATACGAAAAAAACACAGACCCCATGAATATACAAAATGACCAAAGAGACAAAGAAAACACTATACAATATTACATAAGCTTTTTGGTGTCTTTCTCACCAATAGAGAAATGCTTTCAAGTTCCATCAATGGAGTGTCTGTTTCAAGCTGCCATTAAGTAGAGACATTAGCCCCCCACCATGAACTCTCTCCTCCGGAATCATAAAGTCAAAGACATTCCTCTCACTGCTATTATTGTTTGTTTCTTGCCTCTCAGTGTTTGAGAAGCTTAAGGACTTCATTGATGGAGGCACAAGAACCTGCATTGGTATCATCATCTGCTTCTGTCTTTGCTCAATAGACTCTGTGCAATCATAAACCGCGCTAACTCCACCAAGAGAATGATCAGTAGTAGTAGTAGTAGTGGTTTGAGAAGAGGTGGAGACAAGCCCACGGAAAAGCCCAGGCCCAATCAAACCAATCTTGCTTTCACCTTTCTCCTGACACATACTATTATGAGCAGCACATAAACCACTCTTCCCTCTAGCAAACTTCTCACATACCCCTCCCCAAGAACACCGTTTACCACCACCATGAGCTTTACAAAAATCAGTACTACCTTGTGCACTCTTCTCACACCCAATAGACTTACACCGTTTCCCACCACCATGCTTCACACAACAATCAGTCCTCCCACGAGCACTCTTAGTACACCCCGCCACAACACATCTCTTCCCACCACCATGAGCTACACAAAAACTCGTCCCACCATGCACACTCTTAGGACATATCCCACCTCCATCAAACATACAACGTTTCCCTCCACCGTGTGCTTTACACAGAGGAGTACTCCCTTCAGCTCCTTTACTACACCCAGCGAATATACAACGCTTCCCACCACCATGAGCTTTGCAGTAGTTAGTACTCCCTTGAGCACCTTTTGTACACTCTGAAGCCTGACAACGTCTCCCACCACCATGTGAGATACAAAGACCAGCTTGTCCTTCAGCACTTCTTGTACATCCTTCAACTCTACACCTTTTACCACCACCGTGTTTGATGCATAGTCCTGATTTGCCACGTGCAGCTTTAGCACATCCCTCAGGGAAACCACACCTTCTTCCACCTCCATGGGAGATACAATAATCAGTTTTGCCTTCAGCACTCTTTGTACATCCCAAGTGTTGGCATCTCTTTCCTCCACCATGTGCTTTACAGAACGTTGTTTTGCTCTCAGCACCTTTGTTGCAACCTGCCTTTTGACATCTCTGCCCACCTCCATGGCCAATGCATAGCCCTGAGGCTCCTCTAGCTCCTTTGGAACATCCCATGAACTTGCATTTCTTAGGGTTGGTCGTCCTTTGTGTCCTGTCAGAGAAAGCAGCTTCTATGGAGAACTCTGACTCATGACTACATTCTTGTATTCTTGAGGGTCTTGTAAGTGATGACATATAGCCACCTGAACCTTCATCAGCTTGGGAGACATTAGTGTCTGTATACGTCAACAAGGAACAATCAAGTCCACTGAAACTGTCCATGGTACTCATAGCAGGAGGACCGAGCTGGAGAATTGAGTTACCACCTGATGAGAGTTCTTGAACAGTTCCAGAAGAAGCGGAGACTTTGTTGTAATAATAAGAGGGTGGTGTTGGACCTAAACCGAGGACTAAACCGCAACCACCATCAGGACAGTTTGAGACATCATAACAAAGCTTGTGGTTGTGGTGAGAGCTGCTTCCAAGGCATTTCAAGCTGAGAGAAGTATCACCAAAACGAGCCACACTCTCGTTCAAATCCATGTGAAGAAGAAAGGAAGGGATGCACAATAGAATGTTTAAAAACCAAGAATACTTAGGACAGCTTGTGAAACTATAAACATAAAAGTAACTTGAGATATAAACATCTCCCACCACTGACAAATCCCCATGTGTCTGCCCTGTCCATCTTCAAGAATGAGGAAGAAGAGCAAGCACCTTTCTACAACAAGTTACAAAATCTATGTCAGTAACAATGACATGAGAGTAATAAAAAAATAAAAACAGATTAGAGTCAATAGTAAAAAAATATACAAACTGCAGTTAAGAGATTCAAAAGTACAGACCAATAATTGGGTATAACAACTGTGTTTGAAAAGGACTAAGTACCAACCAAAGATGACTTATGGTTAAAAGTGAAACGTGAGGTTAGTAGGTTACATCTTTCTTTTGCTCAAAAATAAAATTTCAAAACTAGAAATTTCCCAAGAAAAGCAGAATGAGAAAAAGAGATAAGTTTAGTTTACAGAATAGTACAAAGTAAAACTCAAGAACTTGTATCAAAACCCCTAAAGTCAACTTTCTTTTTATAAATGATGACAACAATATCTCAGAATTTCTTATATAGATGAAAGATCCAAACATAATCAACAAGATTGAAAGGTGATATTTTGTTTATAAAGAAAATTTAATAAAAATACCATGGACTCAACAAGATTCTAATATCTATATACTGTATCAGATTTTTATAAATGCGCAGCAACGCAAAGTGTAACACCCGTCACCTCCTACGTGGAGTACAGCGTGTCATCCCCGACGCGTCATCAAATAACAATGTGACACCCGTCTCCCTCTCTCTAGGGACAACGAGCCACCAATAATATCTCACAACATAAAAAACCCCAAAGCCCAACTACACTCGCCCAAGCCCAAATAAAAATCCGAAATAGAAAGTCCAATAGCACCAAG